TCATTTCATCCTCATTCAGTTTTTTCAAGGGCCATTTTTCAAACAGTGACACCCCTGAAGGCTTGTTTGGGAGAAACCAATTCACAACGATATACTATAATGAAAAAAATGAAGCCCCCCCCCAGTTCAAATCCCTTCTTGCTGTTATCTTAAAAGTCTTTCAGGGCTCCTGAAAACAAGCTAACTGTTGTGTTGGCTAACTCTGAAAAGAAATACACTAAATTAAATATACTTTTTTAGTGATATGTCTTAAACAGATTGCAGTTCATGCAAAATGCTTCTTTATGAATCTCTATGTCTTCAACGTTAATGTTCACTTTTCCATGATGTATTGTAAATGAAACCACTAGATTGTGAAAACAAAGTCCTATGTTGCAAATATAATGGGCTTTTTCATATTTGTATTGTGAAGCCCTCCCCATTATTTGAATCAAATTGAGGAAGCTTCACTGACCTGTCTATCAGGGCTCCTCTTTTACTTTTGTAGAAAACTATTTCCATCGCATAATTTGTGCTTTCATTAATGACATACTCAGTAAATAATCGTACGAAGCAGTGTGCCACTGCCCACATGCAAAATGGAGCGCATCATTCATCTTATTAATTACACCTTGAGATTTTCATCCTGTGACATATCAAAATGTCAACATGAGAAGAGTCTTAATCTGCCAATAAAATCTACTACACTAGTGTTGATGCACAGACCTTTGATATGAGAAAATTAATAACCGTAATAATTCTTCAGCTATGATGAAAGAACCTCCTTCATCTCATGATCGTCGGGGCTTTATGGGATGTTTAATAAAAGTCAATTCCAGCTTCATATATTGTATGGGGCCTCGTAGCCCGGCTTCCATTTCCTCTTATTAACCCTCCAGCCTGCACTTGAGCCCTGTGTCGGCCATGTATGTTTCCGTCTTTGTTCACCTTCAGCTGGATCACACCAGCGCTTTGATGCTGACCGCCGCTAATTAATATGGGTGGCGCTTCTTTTCTTTTTTTATGAAAGAAAAAGCCCACACTGTTCCACAAAGCACAATGCGTGTATGTACACACTCAACACAACATCCACTTTGAGTTCAAGGAAATATATCCGTTTTATTTTGTCTATATTTTATGAGGGGACACTTTTAATAATGTATGGCTTTTCTGGAGAGTGAATACTATGTACACCTTAAAAAGAAGATTGTTTGCTATAGTTTCAAAGCAGAACTTTAAACCCTACACTCAGTCATTTAAGATAGTTTGACATTTTGTGAAAAAGGTTATTGGCTTCAAACTGAGAATGACATGATAGGATTGATACCATTCTCCATTATCTCGACCTTATCTACCAAGTTACATTATTTGAGAATAAATCGTCAAACCATTTACACTTGGCCTGGCTCTGTTAAAAGTAAAATTGCCTCATAACCGTACTTTATATACTTTGAATTTCTGAAATGTAGTACTTTTTTGAAGTAGCAGATGTACTTTAGTTTTTAGACAACACACACAAGTAGCAGAAAACCTCATTGTTTTGTAATATAAATAGTTTATTCAAATCCATACAATGTATTAAAAAATATAAAACCAAATACACATGGTTCGTAAGTTCTGATTTTCTTAAAGCTGTTACACATTGATGTTCTTTCGATATCTCTAATGAAATATTGAGTTTTTTCAGAGATATTTTTAATCAAACACAGCACACAAGATGAAAACATTTATTTCTCTCCATATTATACAATCAGTCAATACATCCATGCATTTCCAAAGGTTGCATTATGATTCAGAACCGAATATCCTAAATAGAATAAATTACATGAACGAGCAAAAGCATTTGTAAAGACAAAGATGAAAGCATGATGTGCTCTTTCTTCAAGTTATTCACAATTTGAAAATATATACAGGCCTCTCGCTGCTATGTTGGCTTCAATTGCTGCAACAATGTAATCACTTTTAATTGTGCTTACTTTCTGATGGATGAGTCGAAAAATCAAGTAATCAGGTTATTCGCCAGGTGGCACGTTTATTGGCCGATTTGTGTGGCTTATTGAATGGCAATGTTTTGAAAAGGCAAACGGGTAGACTGAAATAACATCAATCCCCTAATGCTTTTAATTTCACCATATCAATGCCCATCACCAATTTATCATGACATTATGTAACTGTATGCCGGACTGACCACCATAATTGGGCTCCTTGTAAAAAAAGAAAAGAATGCATAGTATTCTAAATTGTTTTCATCTGATTCACAAAAAATCCCCAAAATATATATTTACCTACAGCAAGTGTTTTTCGCCTAAAAAGGGTAGAAGTACCCGGACACGTTGCTCTCATGTATAGAGTTGTGCAGTAATGACGTAATTTTGGTGGCCGAACAAAAAGCAATGGAATTTGCCAATTGGATCTGGCAAGGTTCCGCATCACCACCGCTAAGCTAAAGACGGCCTTGTGTCGGCTTGATGACTTTAAATAGTTTATATTGACCTTCAGACCTTATTTTAGGCTTCAACGAAAAATGCTGACTTGAAAGTGGAAGTTGTAAAATGCTGACTCATTTCCAGGTTTTAGGACTCATTCCTGCACCACTCTGTTGGATTTGGAATCATTTTAGAACAAACAATCCTGAAAAACATTTTGCTAACGATGCAGTGCTAACGACGCAGTGCTTACGACGCAGTGCTTACGACGCAGTGCTTACGACGCTGTGCTTACTACGCTGTGCTTAACGTACCATGCTAGTAATGCATCAATCTCATGTAGCCACACCTAAAGCATACCTTTGCCGAATGCACCCCCTCCCTCTCCGATTTGTGGGATTATCGTCAGCTGTTCTAAATTATGTTTGACCTCAATTTGGAACTGTGTGCGTCTGTGTAACCTGTACACGTGGCATATCTCAAAATGCATCTGTTGCTGAGCCAATCATAGCTTTCTATGTTGCTATAAATGAAAATACAGCATCTGATTCTTATGTGTGTGTGAGTGTCAGCCGGTCAGAGCGCCTGTCATTATTTACCACCCCGCCTACGTAAAACAACAGGCGGCATGGAAACCTCAGTGAGTCATACCTTTCTGTAGGAGAGTGATTACCCCTACCCCTCTCTATTCCATTCAATTCGCTTCATTACCATGAATGGGCCACAACCATTGTTGCCAAAGCAGAAAATCAACATTAATAAAAAAAATAGAGTATGTGAAAGATATCAATGAGAAAATTACATTACATCTAATTTTCTTAAACACATGACTGAGAAATCTATATTTTTCCCAAAAAATAAAAAATTATACTTTTTGATCACAACCTGTTTCATATTTTGTTAATGTGAGTCGGCTCATTGTTAAAATGCTTCTCTGTTTGGGGTCATCTGAGCTATGACAGAACCAAACACACAGACATTTATTTGCAAACACTTTGAGCCTGTACTTAGCTGTAGACTAAAATGCATTAGCACACATGGGCGCACACACACACACATTATATTCTTTATACACAGTGTATAGCACACAGGATGCACCCATATATCATAATACATAGGTGTCATTAACCCAGCTGTTCATAAACTCAAAAGCTGTTGTCCTCACGATGTTATTGAGACAACAAAATGGGTACAAATCTTAAAGGACGACGGAGATTGCAGTTTATCAATATTCTAATTTAGCTCTAAGGTCAATTCTGGACATTGGAAACAAACATAGTTGAATTAACCTCATGTATGCCTTCATTGTGGCGTGCAGTCAAAGTGTTGCTCAGCTAAGCCATCTCCATGACAACCGCAAGCATTATCCCTGATTGGCAGCATTCACAAATTATTATAAGATGGTAACACCTTGTGCTTACCTTTCATAAGGAGCAACAAGTGTTTTGTTTTGTTTTAAGGAAGTAGTGTTATTTAATTTATTATTTTAAAATGGTTAAATGTACAATACTTTTACTGTTAAGGTAACCACATGCTACTGGTAGATGTTAGTAGCTAGTAGTTGATGATAAGCAGGAATCACTTTTACAATGCTCACTGTCTAAGGTTAGTGTGTTAGCATGCTGACATTTGCTAATGTACATGCAAACACTTAACTCAAACTATATATAAAAGGCTTTTCGTAATGTCATTTTCCACCAACAAGAAGCAAATACAGTGCATTTTGTCCATCTGTAAGCAGGATAAAGCAAAAACTGCTGTCCTGATTTTCATGAAACTTAATGGAAGGGTGTAGGATGGCCCTAGGATGATCCCATTACATGTTGAAACAGATCAGAATAAGGGAGACAAATTATACACAAATTATGTTTCAAATTATAGGTCATTGGGGCTGCAATGAATGCTGAATATTTTAGAAAGAAATGGAAAAATGACTATAACCGGGACTGTAAATGTGAATGACATGAAATACGACATATCTTCCGTGTAGTATTTATGTTGTTTCACAATATGATTTAAAGATCATAATTTCACCGAAGTCTGAATTTCTTTCTCCCAACTAGAGATAATATTGAGTAACCTGAGGACTCTTTGATTACATGACATATTCAATTGATATTTAAAATTATATACATTTAAAAAAATAGTGAATCCAATAAATGCATTACGTTTGTATGATGAATTTTGAGCTGATTATTTCTTGATTATTTTCAGTTTTTGATGAGTTTTCTTTTTTATGTAACAACTGAACGTACTTAACAAGTTTATTTTTTAAACATTCGGTGTTCTCTCCTCCCTGATACATGCCCTTTTTTCTTTTAGTGTTTTAATATAGCAGTTTCTGTTGGGACCCCCAGGTTAGGAACCAGTGCTGTTGTGTATGTACTTTCCTACTTTTGAACTGAACTTTTTTCCTTTCCTTACATTTTCAGTTTTAATGTAAAGCCCATAGTTTTTGTGTGAAATCATGTATACAAATAGGTTGCCTTGCCTAAATGAGCGTTGCCTATACAGTATACTGTAAGCACTGTATGCACAATGGTGTAATATAAAATATGATGGGTTAATTTAATGTATGTGTGTGTGGGTGTCTAGGACCTGGGCATGGAGTCAACCTCTCTGGATGACGTGTTGTACCGCTACGCCAGCTTCAGAAACCTGGTCGACCCCATCACGCATGACCTGATAATCAGCCTGGCACGATACGTGCACTGCCCCAAGACGGTAGGACACACACACACACACACACACACACACACACACACACACACACACACACACACACACACACACACACACACACACACACACACACACACATACACACACACACACACACACACACACACACACACACACACACACACACACACATTAAAACCCAGTACACACAGTCCGATGTGATTCATTTGGTGGCTGCTATCAGATGATCTCCTGACTCATTTCGTCTGACACTATCGGGTTACGGAAGTGCTCTAAGTGGTTGTGTATCTGTGTGTGTCCTTGAGAGAAGCCCAGCTACTTGTGTGTGTTCATTCATGTGGTCCAGTGTCATTGAGGCAGAGAAAGGGAAAGAAAGCGTGACAGTAGCCATACAGGATGAATAATGCAGGGAGATAGGAGGAGTGATGGAAATAAAGATAGGAATTAAAAGGCCTGCAGTGTAACTGTAGCATGATGCAGTGTGCTGATACACTGCTACCCCAATGCTACACCATACTGTCTAATGTGGAAGGTCATGTAGATTATAAAAACCGCTATGTACAGTCTTCTGGATGACTGATTAATTAATTTATGATTTTATTTTATTGTTCTTTTTTTGGGTAACATTTTATTTTTATTAAGTGAGTGGGAGTTTTTAATAGTCTACATTCAACATCCTAAATCTTAAGTTTTATTTGTCCCAAAGAAATTAATACATAAGAAATATATAAAAAAGACTCAAAGATAGAGATATAACCATAAACAGTTGATGAAAAAGTGCTGTATGAATCATATATATAATAAAATATATTTACATGAGTTGTCGTATAGTGTCAATTATGAGTAATTATAATATACCTTTGTTAGAATTATTTTTCAATCAAAAAATATTTTAGAAAGTAAATAATTGTGAGTAGATCCTGAAAAAAAACTACAGTAGAATGTAAGCAGTGCAGCGTTAGTTCTTTGAAATAACAGATCCAACAGGCTGTCATTTATTAGAGTTAAGCTAACAATAATTTAACATGATCTCGTATAATGGCAAAACATGATAGTGTGGAATTAAATGATCTGAAGATTCTGGATACAGAACAAACAAGAAACATGGCCATACATATATTATACTGAGAATATCCACTCTCATAACTCTCAATAATTTATTTTAGAATTTGTCAGGTTAATATTTCAAAAAATCAACATGAAGTGTCCACCAAAAATAATCAATCAATGAACACATTAGAAATAGAAAGGAACATGGTTGATATAGATAGATGTTGTGAGTCTCTGGCTGCAGTGTATCCTGCTGCTCTGGCTGGAAAATGATGTTTGTTGTTGAGCTTGATTTCTGTTCCTGGAAGATTATGCTCTCAGGGATTGAAATAGCGTGCCATCAAGTTTGAGTTTCTTATCAAGAAAAACCTGGCAAATCCTGGGAGACAGTGCTTATATTCAACGTTTCCATGGATATCCAATTCATCGGGTTGGTGGATATCTGCAGTTGCTTGTCTCCCGGTTGATGCAACACTTTCCACTAAGGGGAAGCATTTACGCAATGTGGTGCCTTTTCATTTCAGGTTCTCACTTTGTATTTCTTCACCCCTTTCCCTCAAACTATTTTAGGAGAGTGCATTTACGTAGACACGTTGTGCCTCTCTTCCTCTGTTTCTTACTTCTCTCTTCCTACCCCTGTCTCTCAGACCTATCCTAAGGGAGCAGACACGTTCTGCCTCTCTATCTCCGAGGGTCAAAGATTCATATGGCCAGGGATTCCTTTGAGCGATATGCGCCGGCCCGTGCCTTATGCCTTGGACTTCTACACAACTGCTCGGGTCTTGATAGATTGAGTGGGGAAGTTCAGGAGAACAACACTTTTTTTTTTTTTACATATGTGTTGTACACTTGACATAAAAGAGACTTCAACGCGTGTATACCTTTTTCGTTGTTCTCTATAATGTTATATATCTGCATACACATTCATTTACATTCTGAAACTTGAATGACACATAAAATATCAAAAAGTCTGCTTCTAATTAACCAGCGCTGACTGACGATATTCAACACACAAACACAACTCATTCAATTTTGTCACTGCCTGAATGGTAGACACAGGTCCGCACTGCAATCCAACCATGGGGTGTTAAATAACAATTCCAATTAAAATGACGAGAGCCACAAATCTGTCAATAGCTAGCTGGATAGCTAACATTCGCTAGCTAGCTTATTAGCTTGGTAGCTAAGGTAGGCTAGCTAACTAAGTAGATAGATAGCGAACGTTAGCTAGCTTGATTTGCAGACAGACATACAAAAATGAGATAGAAGTATCATATCTGTGTTACCCCTTGTTTGTTACACTTTCACATTCATATACATACTTTTAAACATATTTTGATCACTTTAGCTTACCTGAAAATATAGAAACACAAGCACATTGCTGCAACTTGGCTGCATACTGTCGGTTAGGTCTAATGCTGCGTTCACACCAGATGCGATGCGAATATTCGCTTCGCTCTAATCGCTCTTATCGCATCGCTCTAAACGCTCGAGTTTCACCGCGGCTGTCAGCTGTGTTTACTTGCATAATTCAAACAAGACGCGCTGGCTCGGGGGCTACAACTACAACAAAATGAACATATTTCACCGTGATTAAATTGTAATACACGTTTCTAAATGATGCCGAAGTAACAACATACTGATACCGGTTAGTAAAAACCATGAATTAATGCTTGACAAGTCTGCAGACAAGACGGCAGGCGAAACACCTTTTAAAATGCTTGTTTTCTGAATGAAGATCGGATCGACCAGGCTAAGCTAACATTGTATATGCTCCGTCCACACTCATAACAACGGCCTACAGACATAAATAAACCAGCGACTGTATTCGCCATGACACAGACAATATGTGGTTTGTACTTGTTTAACTTTTGTCCAGTTTCTGAACAGATATGAGGAGCTGTGAGCTCTGTGTGCTAACTGCTAACAGCTAACGGCTGATATTTTTCTGGTTGAACGTCAGTGACGGCAGGCTGAGATCCTCACCGCTGATTGGCTACCGCGAGATCGCGTCATGCGAATATGACGCTCGAGTTGAAAAAATTGAACTCGAGTGTTTGTCGCGGCCCCCTTCAATTGCCTCAATCGCGCCGCGGAATTCGCGTCCACCGCTTCATGCTCGCCGTCGGAGGGAATTCTTTACATGTAATCGCGCCGCCCCCAAACATCGCATCGCGTCCGGTGTGAACGCAGCATAATAAGTTATGCCTTTACTTTTCTGTGTTTCACCTAATGGACCCCTGAGTTTACCACTTTGTGCCTGTGTGAGCTTTACTCCTTGTAAACTTAACTTGATCTACTAAATATTAAAGTTATGTATACATACAAGTGCTTGAAAAATATAATACAGTTTCATGTCCATTCATATTTTTTTGTCGAATGACAGACCCAATATTACTGTGGGTCCCACATATTTCACCTTCTACCAATGCATTACATAGCGGCCAATCTGATTGGCTAACAGTTGCACCGCATATTTTCACCTATGGAGCTTCTGTCCTCTTGCATTATTTACAGTTAATACTTAATAGGGTAACATTAGTGCAGGGCTAACGTAACATACCAATCAATGTTAATCTTCCTCCAGACTTACTTAACAATAGGACAGCTAGAAAAACAGAGTTTATGATATCACATTTTTTAGCTTGTCATTTCAAGATAAATCCAGAAAGTAATCTGTATTTTAGTGATCAGGGGCCTCATTTATAACGCCTTGCGTAGGATTGACGTGAGAAGGTTGCTTACGTAGTACAAAGCAAAAAAATTGGTACAGACATTTTCCGACATTTTCCGATTCACAAAACATTGCGTACCGGCGAGGGAAGTGCGTACCGGCACTTCATACGCCTGTTTCCCTTTATAAATCACAATCGACTCGAAATGCGGAGCAGCTTTTGCAGGCTTCACGTAACGCCCATATTTGCCTATAAATAGTCAAAGAAACGCCCATTCATTCATTCATTTTTGACTGACTGCATGAAGAAGATCGCAGGAAATTAGATGTAATTCTGTCCTCCTGCTTACCGCATCATTTATGAGAAAACATTTCATAACATTAACACAACATATTCGAGGTGGTTTTAAATAACATATCCGTATTTATTTATTTCTCCAAGTTATGTTTTTGTGTGCACTGAGGAGTCGCAAACAGGCGTTTGTTTAATCATTTTAAGATTGGCTTTAATCAATGTTTGAAAATGAATTCTTCATATATGATAAATGAGAGGTAACATTTTATTTATTTCCACATATTTCTCTCCATTCTTCCTTCTGCCAACGGTGTCGCAGTTTCTCGTCTCTCCCGTTGTTGTGCTTAGTGCGTACGCATGGGTTAGAGTTTGCGTGGAGGACCGCACATTTTCCCGTCAAGTTAGTATTTTATAAATCGCAAACATTGCGTAGAAACTGGCGTACGCCATTTTTTGAGCGTATATCCCTTTATAAATGAGGCCCCAGGTGAGGGTGAGACTAGAAGTTTCACTAGGGAAAACTCGACTAACATGTCTTCGGCCATTGTTGACGTAAAAATAAAAAAGGATCTTTTATTTTGTTATTCCATTAGCGAATATGTTAACGCATTTTATTGTGTGGCAAGATGCACCTTGGGAGCTGAAAAATGCTCGTTATCAGTGAACAAGGCACATCCTGCGAGATAATCTTCACACATGCTGGAGCTGCAGAGGAACTGGAGGATAAGGGTTTGGTGTATGGTTCCTGATAGACAGGCTGAGAAGAGCAGAGCGGTGATGAAACAAACACCAAAGGGGGTGTTGTTGTGTGTGCAGAGAGAGGAAGTACAGGAGGAGACAAAGAGAGGTGTTATTTATTTCGTTATGCTCCTTCCGTTCACTCTTCTCATTTACTTTCCTGAACGTGCCATCAAAGACATTATGGGCTTCTCTTTTCATGGGCTTTCATCAACAATTGGGAGAATCCTTGTGGTGTAACATGATATAATATTTAGCTTCACT